CCTTTTAAAAAACAAGTTTACATCATATTCTTATGCACGCCAGTGCTGTGTGTGAGGTAATTTAAGGTGGTTCTGACAAGTGTCGTCTGCATCTTCATATCCGGTCACATGGGCGGCAAGCCACTCCCATCCGGTCACATGGGCGGCAAGCCACTCCCACAAAGGAGGCCACACCAACAGAGTAGGTTCGAAGAATTTTTGAAACCCACCACTGGTTGAAGTCCACTCATCTTTAATTATAGTAAGTAGAAGGTGATTGTTCTCTCTCTTTCTCAGGGATGTTGCTTCAGACCATTGAACTTAGGACTGTGCACAACGCATCCAGGGATGTTCAGGTATGCTGCAACACTCCTTTGAATGTTATTCAGCATCCGATGCCACCCACAGTCTAAAAAAATTCCCAACCCAGCCTTGTAGTACCTGGTGAGCACAGTGGTTGCAATCATCCACCTTGAACGTACAAAATAGGTTCACCCCTATAGCCATTCTAAAAGTCAAGTCTCCATTTGGTCTCTTAACTGCATCAGAACATACTGTACCGTAGGAGCCATCCTGATCCAAATAGAAAGTATTGTTTTGAAAATGCTACAGAGAAACTTACCTATCATATAATCTCCAAATCCAATGGTGCTGAGGGTAATAAATGTAAAATAAATTGCTTCACTATAGGACCAGCCCTCTATTTTTCGAATGATGGCTGATGGCACACAAAGAAACACCAGTATTCCCATAAGCAGGAAGAACAGAAGCGTCAAGCCCCTTGCGGTTTTCTGAAAAACAGAGAAAAAAGCTGATTTGATACAAGAAAATTGCCCTTGGTACAGACAGCTGCCTCTGCTTGCCTGCCTATTTCCAGAACTTCTATGGTCTTATATTGCCTCCTATCTCATACAGGTAGACTTCAAATTACAACCACAATCAGAACCAGACTTTCTGTTGCTAAGCAAAGCAGCTGTTAAGTGAGCCATTCCTGATTTTATGACTTTTTTGCCACAGTTGTTAAGTGACTCAAGCGATTGTTAAGTGAATTCAGCTTCCTCTCATTTTCATTGCTTGCCGGAAACTGACTGGGAAGGTTTCAAATGAAGATCATAAGTTCCTGGAATGCCACAACTGTCATAAATATGTCAATTGCCACACACCCAAATTCTGATCTTGTTACCATGGCAATGTTGCAACAATTGTAAGTGTGAGGACCAGTCATACACCAGGTTGTTTGGTACCATTGTAACTTTGAATGGTCACTAAATGAATGATTGTAAGTTGAGGACTTCAAATACTTTGGCCACCTAATGAGAAGGAAGGACTGACTGGAGAAGAGCCTAATGCTGGGAACAATGGAGGACAAAAGAAAAAGAAGGGGGCAACAGAGAATGAGGTGGCTGGATGGAGTCACTGAAGCAGGAGGCTTGAGCTTAAATGGACTCCAGAGGATGGTAGAGGACAGGAAGGCCTGGAGGAACGTTGTCCATGGGGTCACAATGGGCCAGACACGACTTTGCAGCTAACAACAACAACAAAGTTGAGGATTATTTGAGGATTCATGGGCTGCATTGTTGTGTGTTATGTTTCAATTCTATCACATAGTGTTAAAATGCTTTGAAATTGGACCCCCTCAAGTCTGGTGCTGAGTGATTGGGAGGGCTGAGCAAGGAACACTGGGAAGGCCTATACTACCACCGGGGTCATTTAAGCTAGGAGTGAAGGTCATCCCAGTGCCAAAGCTGAGTTAAGCATTCAAGCAGCAGCAGCATTATAGAAAGCCTAGCAACTACAAAGGCATCATTTCAAATTGTGTCAGTGATAAACCACTTCTGAATTTCACCAAGAAAACTATGTGGATAGATACTATAAATGGGTTGATCATGAATAAGGTATATCTGTTGGATCACCAAGAATTAACACTGCCTTGATGACGCACACCAAATGAGAAAAATTGGGATAACTTTAGAGATAGTCCTAAAAGGAAAGGGTAAGGAATTGTTAAGAAAATTGTTTGATTATATAAGTGGAAGGCTTAAATGTCAAAGTTTAAGAGAAATGTATTAAGATTGGGATGCCCAACCTTGGCAACTTTACTCTGAGGACTTCATCTCCCAGATTTCCCTAGAATTCTACATGAATGCTGGCTGGGGAATTCTGAGAGTTGAGGTCTACAAGTCTTAAAGTTGCCAAGGTTGGATACTCCTGTTGTAGGAGGAGATTGAATCAGTTAGGGCTGTGATGGCAAACCTACGGCACGCGTGCCCAAAGTGGCACATGGAGCCATGTTGCCATGTTCCTCTTCTGCAATGATCAGCTGGCTTTTGTGCATGAGGCAGTGCCAGAAACTGGAAGAGTTGGTCTTCTGTTTACCGGTGTGAGTATGCATGCTGGCCAGCTGATCAGTGCATGCGCACGCCCATCAGTAACCGTAAGACTTACTGGCCGGCGCATATGCATGCACCCCAAACCAGAAGTTCATTTTTGGGCACAGGCATGCCCCCTGGGAAACTCCTCTTCCTGGTTGCAGCCCAGATGAGTGCACACTCAAAGTGCTCCCTTTTCGGCACTCGGTGCCACATGCGCATGCTTGCCGTTCCTTTTCAGCACCTGGTGCTGAAAAGGTTTGTCATCACTGAGTTTGGGTATTCTGTATATTGGAGAGCTTCAGCTTGAGAGGAGAGACATTTCTGCCTGATAATTTGCTTTGAATTTATCATACTAAAATAGAGGTTGGACTTAAACCTCTCTAATGGTACAATCATTTGATGCAGTTTGGAATTACTGCAGTACAATAAAACAGGAGGAGATTTCTTTTAAAATCTGAGATATTGTGCCCTGGTTTCGCCTGGATTAAATGAACCATTTGCAGTTTGGGGGCTTCTGTTTGTGTCCATTAACTGACCCATAAATCAGATTAATGGACTAGAAATATTTTATTTCCAGGAATGGATTTAATGAAATTACACAGCTATTTAATATACCCTGATAGCTACATCATTGTAACTTTAGTACGGATGTATTTTGTTGGTAATGTGCAGCTACAAAACAGCTTTAAAGGATGGTTATTTCTGCTTGACTGACTCAGACTGTTCTTCAATTAAATTATCATCTTAAGCTCTTTGGCTTATTTTCATAAATAATCGTGGAATAACATATTTCTAAAAAAAATTACCTTTTTTACACCTTTCCTATACAGCCATTTAGCTAGCCGTTCGCAGACCATGGAGAGCATCTTGCCAATATGCTGTAAAAAGACAATATTCAGAGGAATTCCAAAGAGAGCAAAAAAGACACAGAAAAGCTGACCACCAGCTGTTTTGGGGGAGAGGTTTCCGTAGCCTGTGAAAACATGAAATTTACAGCAGTGGTGAAATTCAATTTTTTTTTTTGCTACCAGTTTTGTGGGTGTGGCTTTTTGTGGGCATGGCAGGGGAAGGATACTGCAAAATCTCCATTCCCTCCCCACTCCTGGGGGAAGGATATTACAAAATCTCCATTCCCACCATGCTCTGGGGCCAGCCAGAGGTGGTACTTGCCAATTCTCCAAAGTACTCAAAATTTCCGCTAGCGGTTCTCCAGAACCTGCTGAATTTCACCCCTGATTTACAGAGAATATACTGGTGAGCATTATGTTGGTACTTCCCTTCCTATTAAGTAAACCTTCCTATTACTAGGTAAACCTTCTTATTACTATTGGTACTTCCTTCCTGCCTTTATAAGCAAGATATAATTTGAAAAGTAATTCTTTTTGCTTCAGGATGCCATTAATTTGGAGTTTCTAAATGCCACCTTCCATGAGTTCTCTAAGGCATCATCCATGATTATTAGCATAACTGGATTTCTTTACTAGGCATACATAACATTTTTTAGGACCAAGATAAAAGCGTGGCTGTGGCAAGAACAAAACCTAGATATTAAATGTAATTCTGCAGTTTCTCTGCACATCTTTTATTATTTTCTTGTCCTTGGTAAAAAAAAAAAAAGACCATTGCATGGCAACTGGTAGGGGTGGAGTGCATTTGAGGAACAGCTCTAGTAACTAATGCCAAAGTAGTTTGGGATCTTAAATAATTCACACACATGTTTATAAGAATACTTCTATTATCAGAATATTCTCGTATTACAATACTCCTTCAGTTGCATTGACTCACATTTATTTCCACTCTAAGCACACAGTTGAAATAAGCAACATGTTCTACAGAGTTTAAAGAACAGACAATGTTGTTTTAGGCTGAAATCCCAAGATTTATCCAAGCAACCCAAAATAATCAGAAAACCTATTTATCTGTTCTTCTAAATGATTTAGCCAAAAGTTAAAGTAGCCTGGAATACATCAAGTCCGAAGGCTGAGCCTTCCCAGGAGACCCAGACAAGCCCTATTTCTTGTTCACCACAGTTTTGAACAAATACTAACGATATTCTTTCTTCTCTATCAGCCACCTTTGTATTTGTCATGCATTTAGAAAGCCAGAGAAGGTTGTTATTATGTCTTCCATGTGAAAAATACAAAATAATGATATTCTCTCATATACTAAAAGATATAGGTAAAGGTTCCCCTTGCACATATGTTATAGTAGTTCCCAACTCTAGGGGGCGGTGCTCATCTCTGTTTCAAAGCTGAAGAGCCAGCACTGTCCAAAGACGTCTCTGTGGTCATGTGGCTGGCATGAAACGCCGAAGGTGCACGGAACGCTGTTACCTTCCCACCAAAGGTGGTCACTATTTTTCTACTTGCATTTTTACGTGCTTTCGAACTGTTAGGTTAGCAGAAGCTGGGATAAGTAACGGGAACTTACTCCATTATGTGGCACTAGGGATTCGAACTGCCGAACTGCCGACCTTTCTGTCTGATGGACAAACTCAGCATCTTAGCCACTGAGCCACTGCCTCCCTGATATATTTTACATATTTTAAAATATATTTTACATATTTTAAAATATATTTTACATATTTTAAAATATATTTTACATATTTTAAAATATATTTTACATATTTTAAAATATATTTATATATTTTAAAATATATTTTACATATTTTAAAATATATTTTACATATTTTAAAATATATTTATATATTTTAAAATATACTTTACATATTTTAAAATATACTTTACATATTATATATAATATTTTTTATGATATATTTTACCTCATATACTACTGACATGATAATGCGTAAAAAAATGCATTTGAGGAAAAGTGTTTGTGGTTTTAATATGGTCCATTTAGAACAGCGGCCCTCAACCTTTGGGGCCCCAGGGACCGGTTCTGTGGAGAGAGGGGCCGTAGTTTCACATGCTGCCTGAGTCCCATGAATGGGGCTTCGCTTGTTTGTGCGGCTTGGTTTCTGGCATGCCACGGACCAGTGCCAATCCACGGACCGCGGTTGGGACTCCTTATTTAGAAGAATTGGTATGGCATGCTGAATAAAAGCTGTGATTCTGCACAAATTTTATTGAATTGCAGAAAATGTCTTTATTATTTATTAGGTTTTTATTCTGCCTTTATTACTTTACAAGTAATTCAAGGTAGCAAACAGGCCTAATTCTCTTCTTCTTCCTATTTTTCCCACAACAACAACCCTGTGAGGTCAGTTGAGTTGAAAGTGAATGACTGGCCCAAAGTCATCCAGCCAGCTTTCAAGTCTAAAACAGGATTAGAACTCTAGGCCAGCACCTTAACCACTCCACTAAAATGGCTCTATAAAATATTAAAAAGTCTTTAATTCTTTATTAAAAAAAATCTAAATGTCTCTAAACAATTTAAAATGTTGGATTGTCATTGGGGCTGGGCTAATAGTTTATTTACAGGCATTTGTACTGACCTTTTGCATTGGAGAAAAGGTTTTCCCACAGCAGTCTGTTTCACAACATTGCTGTATCATAACATGAGAAAACCTCATATATGAGCCTGTGAACTTTTTGGTGAATGTAATGGGGTTAAATGAGTTTTTTAAAAGTTATTTCTATTTATGAGCAGAGACTTTCCAAAGCTCTGTATTTTATCTTCTTAACAGTTTCCCTTTTTATAAGATCACAGCCGCTTTCTACATATGAATTAAAACAAGTGCATTTGATATTTCAATTTCAGGATTTTCTAACACTTTGTTGCTTGTGTGTGTGTGTGTGTGTGTGTGTTTGTGTATTTTTGTGTGTGTGTTTGTGTGTGTATATATGCTGTCCTATTTCATATTAACAATTGTCACAAAAATGAATTATAGCTTGTTTGGTTTTATAAGAAAGAGGAAGATACGATCTGATGCATAAAAATGACTCTTGAAACAAACTGCAATAAATGTTTCTGACTTCAACTGCATCACCCCGAGTTGCTTTCAGTGACATGGTTGGTTATACAAATACGATTAACAAACAAACATTTAAGGGAGAAGCATAAGCAGTTTACCTATTGTGGATAACATAGAACCCACAAAGAAGAAAGAATTACTGAAATCCCAATTGTTGTGTTCATCAGATAATTCATTTTCTGCTGGATATATGCCCCTCCTAACAGCTTCCATCAGATTCTGTAATTAAGATGACATTTGACATTTCAATAACCATAACTGATTATCAAACAACATTTATTTATATGTTTTTTGCTACCAAGCTGTATCTTCTGATTCTAAGAACGTCTACCAAATGAAATTGAACCGAAAGGATAAAACCTTTTCAAAATACCATAGCCTTTTCTTTAAAACTTCTAATTAATACATACAGCTTAATACATCAATTTCATAATTAAAAAGGGGATGGAATGGGGAAGGGAAGGAACTTGATCTCCACAGATGATATTCAAAGCACCACAGTTTTTGGATTCCTTATTTTTTGGATTCACTTCAGAAAGAATGCCCTACCTCCACTAAGATGTTCACCTCCGCTGCACTGAGGGAAGTGACGTTCTTCAGAAAGTCCTCCAGTCTAAAAGTGATGCCTTGCTGTAGCCTCTCGGCATCTTTTTCCAGAACCTGGAAGATGAGAGCGCCCATCAGGAGATAAGCAAGGTAGGCAGCTGCTAACATACAACTCTGTACTCTGCTGTAAAACATGATGGCCTGTGGGAGAAAGAAAGAAAGGAAAACAGAGACGCTGGTAAACACAGCCTGATTTGTAATTTTTCCAACCCTGATTGAATGAAATCCCAGCTGAGCAGTTCTCATTTCAGCTTGGAATTTGAACTGATAATGCCAATGATGTCTCCCCGCCCCAAATAGTCTCAGGGTTCAAGAGCAGCTTAGGGACTTCCTAAGTAAAGCAAAATATTGTTTCAGAAACTTCCCAGGAGAATGTTGTAATTGCTCTGGCCTCACTCCCATAATTTTTCCAGTTGTTTTTTTCTTCCCATGATAAACCCATTAAGTGGAACAATATTTCTTGATAACACCAACAACTGCCTGGAAGGATCCTCAGTAACAAATGCTCCAGGCAACTAGTCAGTCTTTCTCCTAACTTTTCTGATTCCATTTTAAAGCTATTTTCATTATTTGCCAGGGTCAAGAGTCTATGAATATTTGCAGGTCTAAATAGCAATAGCAATAGCAGTTCGACTTATATACCGCTTCATAGGGCTTTCAGCCCTCTCTAAGCGGTTTACAGAGTCAGCATATTGCCCCCAACAACAATCCGGGTCCTCATTTTACCCACCTCGGAAGGATGGAAGGCTGAGTCAACCTTGAGCCGGTGAGATTTGAACAGCCGAACTGCAGAACTGCAGTCAGCTGAAGTAGCCTGCAGTGCTGCATTTAACCACTGCGCCACCTCGGCTCTAAACAACTCATATAAACTGACAGCCAATCAACACTTGCCCTTCCTGGGAAATAACTAAACACAGAGAACCAGAAGCCAAACAGTGCTCATCTATTTCACATTTGAACACATTATTATTATGATGGGTCACAAAGTCAGCCACATGTTTAGAGGGGGTTTTATCCATCTATATAGCAGGGGTGTCAAAACTCAATTTCATTGAGGGCCGCATCAGGGTTGTGTTTGACCTCAGGGTCCAGGGTGGGCATCGCCAGCTTGCATTATTATATAAAAATTATAAACACAAATTATATATACATATGCATTATAATATAATAAATATTATTATTACTATTCTGCCAATTCTCATTGACTCTGGACAATTATACATTGTTAAAAATATTTTAAAACAAGTATCAATGCAAGAAACACAAAACATAACATATCTGTTCCTGATTTAAAAGGAAATGAAATTGTGGTATTTTAAAGCATTTCCTTGAAGAGGGAGCGAAAAGAAACAATGCTAGAAATTTTCAACCTATTTTGCTCCAAAAGAACAACCGAAAGACCACTCCAAGCCCCTCTCAATACTGCCTGAATAAATAGACCCCAGCAACCATAAACTAGAATTCAAAGCGGGGGGGGGGGACTTTCTGGAGCAGATTAATTTAAGGCTCTGGCTGATCCATTCCAAGCAATCTGTACATCTCCAATTAACACTGAATTGTCAATTATGACATAAATATTGACAGGCTTTGAATAAATGGCAGATGAATTCAGAAGGTCATTTGACTCCGTAATTAAAAATCTCAATATACTGAAAATAATCTTACAAGTAAAGGTGGAATATTTTGAAAACCAAAGTTTCCAAAAGAGGAAAAAGAGAGGTGCATATTATTTCCTCTACCAATCCAAGAACGTATTGCCTCTCTCTCTCTACATTTCACAACAGTTCCACATAAAATGCACATGCGTGGCACTGAGACAATGTTTCTTCACGACCCAACCCTCCAAGGACATTATAATTACAGTAAATGAGCATTCTATTCACACAGGCACACACCAAATGATGAGAGTCAAACTCTTCTCCAGCTGTAGAATATGAAGGATCCAAGATACAAATCCTTTGGGATTTATGAGCTGAAATTCTGAGAAAATATAAACAAGCTAACTACAGTCAGGGAGAAGGCTCCCTGCAAACTCATAAAAACCAAATCGGGTCAGTATTCGATATCTAATAATCAATTGAAATTTGTGCTGTGTATTTCATACCAGAAAGTTCAGATCCTAATAGCTTCAAAAGCAAAAGAAATGAATTCTGATTTAATTTCACTGAATTTTACTCTATTTATAATATTCTTTATAAGATTGCTAATCTGAGGATGCCTCCTTTTGTCTTTCTTCCCAGACACAAATGCAGAGAATGCATATTATTTGATTCTCCTCTTGATAGGAAATTTTCTACTTTTTGCTTATCCTTATGTACTATATATTGCCTATAAATAAATCTCCTGTCTCTTAAACCTCTAAAATTTGCTTCATTCATCCTCAGATCTGATTCCTTTTCTCAAGGTCATTCGCATATGCAGGTGATTCTCAACTTCATACAGTTCATTTAGTGACCATTAGAAGTTACAACAGCACTGAAAAAAGTGACTTTTCACATTTATGACCATTGCAGCATTCCTAGGGTTACAGGATCAAAATTCAGACACTTGGCAATTGACTCGTATTTATGACGGTTGAAGAGGTAGTATTCAGCTGGTTCAGACCAGTTCAACCGAACCAGTAGTGGAAATCATGGGTGGGCCTACCCACCTGTTGCCGTCCTTTTTAGGCACCATTTTTGAGGCCTGGCGCATGCGCAGAAGGCACACGTGCAAGCAAAGTGCATATGTGGAAAGCCGGGCGCATGCACGGAAGGTGCAGGGAACCAGTGGTAATAAAATGTGAAACCTACTGCTGGATGGTTGCAATGTCCTGGGGTCATGAGATTGCTTTTTGTGACCTTCTGACAAGCAAAGTCAACAGGGAAGCCAAATATACTTAACAACTGTGTTACTAATTTAACAACTGCAGTGATTCACTTAATGTGACCAAAGAAGTCTTAAAGGGGCAAAATTCACTTAACAACTGTCTCACTTAGCAACAGGAATTTTGGATTCAAATGTGGTCATAAGTCGAGAATATCCAGAACATTTCAACCTTAAATAATAATAATTTTGTATTTTTTTACATAAAAAGTTGGTGTTATATCTAATATTACAATATAAATATTGTCCTACAACTGCATTAAACATAATTCATGGCAAATTGGACATGAGTAGATACTGTTACTTTATTTCTCTGATATAAAGAATCTTTTTAGGACCATCTCTGTATTATTAAATTAATTGGATTATTGGCTTTTAGATTCATATTCTGAAAGTTTTGTTACAGGTGTTGTTGTTTTTAAATCTTCCATTATCTGAAATTCTTAGCTGATATTGGATACCAAATTTATATCCATAAATGTAAGTAATTCTATTTTTGTGTATTTATTTATCAAATTTAGAAACAGTTCTTGTCCCTCAAAGAGATACTCTTGCTTGAACTTAAAAGCTAAGCATGCTTTTAATTTAATTTCTATGCTCATTTGTCATTGAAAGACTGTTAATTTATATTGACAAATACTGTATAACTTTATTTTATTTATTATATTCTTACTTATTCTAAAAGTAAACTCATTCTAGAAAGCTGGAAAAGTAACCATAGTGATCGGCTACCTCAACAGAAGAAGGAAAAGCTGCAGGTTGGCACATATTACCCAATTACACTTTCAAATTAAGATGGAAAAAAACAGCTGCAATTTTAACCAAAGGATCATCAACTTTTTACATTTGTATACAACCTGATTGATTCTATTCACAGGATGTAGAATATGATTCATCATTGTCATTAATTCTACACCTAAGGCTTTAACTTTTTCATCTTAGATGCACTCAAGGTGTTTGAAGATTAACCTGGCTTCAGAATTTGAACTCGGGAATAGTTTTATAAGTTAGAAGGGTGTATGCCAGTTTAAGAGCCATTCTTAGCTCTAAGGGGCAATATTTTAGACCAATTAAGTTAAGCAGAGAGATGAGGAGGTTCCTATCCTCCTCTTGTTTGCAATTGAAATAAAGCCATATTCTACATTTTACAACCTAAGAGTCTGATGGAAGCCATGATGGTATAACATGTATTATAACTTCATCCAACATGGATAAAATACATCAATAATGCATCATTATAATCTGCATCATTTGAAAATGTCAGCGTTCCCAGGTAAACCAGAAAGACTCTAGAAAGAGTGGAGAGAAGAGCAACAAAGATGATTAGGGGACTGGAGGCTAAAACATATGAAGAACGGTTGCGGGAACAGGCTATGTCTAGTTTCATGAAAAGAAAGACTAGGGGAGACATGATAGCAGTGTTCCAATACCTCAGGGGTTGCCACAAAGAAGAGGGAGTCAAACTATTCTCTAAGGCACCTGAGGGTAGAACAAGAAGCAATGGGTGGAAACTAATCAAGGAGAGAAACAGTTTATAACAGAGTTGGAAGGAGGCCTGGAGGTCTTCTAGTCCAACCCCTTGCTTAGGCAGGAAACCCTACACCACTTCAGACAAATGGTTATCCAAAAACTTCCAGTGTTGCCTCCAACTTCTGGAGGCAAGTTGTTCCACTGATTAATTTCAACTCTGTTATTCTAATTCTAACTACTGTAGTTATATTTTTTCATAAGTCTACATTAACAGAGTCTTGACAGTCTGAATGCACAAAGTTCCCACCACCATTCTCATCTGCTTGATCCATTAAGGCAGGACCTTCCTAAGTTTCTTTCCCTGATCGTTAAGACACTGGGGCTCCTGCCTCTCTTATCTGTTTCCTAGGCAGCATCTCCCCCCTCTTTCCCCAAGGTCTTTCATCCAAGTCATCCATTACACCAGTTCACACACCTGCATAAATATATTTGTCCCTCTACACTTGCCCCCATACATTTTCCTCTCCTTGTTAGACACCCAATCTGTCATGAATTTCTTCACAAGTAACAATAATACTAAAAATAAATCCCATCAATGTAACATTTGTGGTATTGGCATACGGTATATATTTTTACTTCCAATCCACAATCAGTAGTACGCTGTATACATTATTGGTTTTCAAAATTAATATAGGAAAAGAAATGAAACATAGAAACTAAAACACACACAGAATAATAGCTCATTTAAAACTCACCTATTGCTGAATCAAATCTCTAAGAATCATTGTCCTTAAAAGATA